AGACATGACACCTCCAATTTGTAATCCTGAATTAGATTCTATCTTTAGGAAATATTCTCAGGGTGACTTAGGGCCTATATATACATTATACTCTCTAATATTTCAGAAAAATATTTATAACACATATTGTTATATTACTATGAAAAGAGAATGATAACGTACTTATGTTAAAATGTTAACATTTGTGAAATCAGGTAAAGGTCAATGGTAAACCTTTCTACTATTTTCACAACTTTTTTATAAGTTTTTCATGGTTTTTGAATTATATCTGGTATATGGTAATTTGTATTTCAAAGTTTATTAAGCTTGTAATATCTGATATTGTCACGACACATGATCACCAATTGCCTTTCCAACCCCACATTTGTAAAATTGAGGTAAAAGATATGAGCCTGAGGCCACGTAGCAGAGCAGACCTGAATGTACCTGGGCTGGAAGCCAAAGCTACTTTCTATGGTTACTTGGATGACGTATTTGTGCCATTAATTCTGTACTACCAAGTTACAATAGGAATTGATAATTGGGAATGGATATAAGGAATATGGTTCACAGGACTAAGAATGAGATGAAGTGGACAAAGATTGGGAGACATCTGTCTGGATGGGAAGGAGAAATTCACAGGGCTAAAGAATCTGGTGCTTCAGTGCAATTATCTTTCATTCTTATTGGGGAAAAGGCAGGCTCCATTGTTAGTCCTTCAATAAAATTGCTATGGCACAAATTCACGTGTGCTTTGTAAATAGCAATTCATAAACATTGGCTTAAAGTTTAGGGTTGACAATGAGAGGATCTTAGAGCTTCTACTTTGCTTAGGGCATTGTTGCCCATAAGAATGGGCCTCCAGAACTACACTAATGTATCCTTACCCTGATTTTGTTCACATTCAAGTTGTTTAAGCTCAGGTAAGGTATCTATTAATATATTCAATTTCTCTTCAGTTACAAAGTGAGAAAACTTATACCTGTCATCCCACCTGTGATAAAATTGCATAAGGTTTATGTAACTGGTTTGAAAAATACAAGACAATGAAAACCGTAATATTTGCACTCATCCTTAGAGGAATTTTCAGAACTGATCTCTGTTTTATATTAGAAATCAAATAGAATATCATGTTAATGTGGCTAGCATTGTCTATCACATATGCTATAATTATAGCTTCCCAAAATTTAAAAAAAGTTATATACATATAAGAGAGAATATGTATGTTTTGTAAGCAGAAAAGCACACAAGAAATTAAAAAGCAAAAAAAAAATATTTAGATAGTGGAAGGGAGAGATATTAACAAAATGGTGGAATAGGACTTTCTAGCACTGATCTCTCCACCCCCATCATCCACATAAACTTTGCTTTGAACAATTATTGTCATACCAAAAAAAAACCAAAAAAACCTTCGCAAGAGCTAAGGAATCTTGGTGCGAGATCACAGTACCTGGTATAACACAGAAATAAGAAAAGACACATTGATTACCTGTGTCAGTGTACCCCAAGCCCCAGCCACACAGCACAGGACAGATACCCTCCACATGGGAGAAGGAAAGTGAAGTGGACACCTGACTTTGCTGTGGACCCCAATACTAGGCCCCTTCCCAGTGAAACCCAGCTCCAAGCCAGCCTTCATGGCCCCGAGACCCAAGGACCTATCCTCCAGACTGCCACATACAG